GGGGGGGGGGGGGGGGGGGGGGACTTCTCCCTTCAGAGCCATGGACCCGCCAGGGAGCTCCCACTTTCAGGAATGTGCCAACAGGTGGGCTGTTCACGCACCAAGGGACCTGGAGGTCCCTGCGCCATGGGCCAGGCTGGGGATCGGGACCCTCCAAGTTAACCCCCTCCCCGGTGCTCCAGATCCTTCCCCGCCTGCCTCCAGACTCAGGCAGGGCCCTCCTGCTCCTCCGGGCTTCACACACAGCCTCCTTTCGTGCCTCAGGGCTCCAGCACCTCCAGGCCTTTGCCCCGGCTGTGCCCTGGCGAGAAAGCTCTCTTCACCTTCCTGACTCCTCCGCAATCCTGCAAATCTCAGCCCATGAGTCCCTGAGGAGGATGGAGAAACCTCCAGAACCGCCTGGTATCACCCGTGTTAGGATGGGTGGCCCTTTGCGGCTACATAATTATTTGAATTATTATTTTTTTTGAGCTGGAGTCTCACTCTGTCGCCCAGACTGGAGTGCAGCGGCCGCTCCCGGCCACCGCAGCCTCAACCTGCTGGGCTCCGCGATCCTTCCGCCTCAGCCTTCCACGTAGCTGGAACTACAGGCGCGCGCTACCACGCCCGGTCAATTTTTTATTTATTGTAGAGACGGGGGGGGGGTCTCACCAAGTTGCCCAGGCGGGTCTCAAACGTGCAGGCTCAGGCAATCCACTCACCTCAGCCTCCCAAAGTGCTGGGGTTACAGGCTGAGCCACCGAGCCTGGCCCGTTTGAGTTATTTTATTAAAGACTGACTCCCCCTGAGGCAGGGCTGAGGACGGGGCCATGCCTGTGGGTTCACCATGATGCCCCCAGAACCTGGCACCTAGCAGGTGCTTCGTCGAGGGTTCCTTCCAAGGGAAAGCAGGGAGGGAAGGAGGAGGGAAGGGAGGGAGGGAGGATTCTGCTCCAGGGTTTTATTCTGCCCAGGGTTCTTCTTGCATGTGGAGGCGAGATGAGGGGGCAGGACCCTCAGAACCCCACCAGCAATCAGGTGTGGGGGTCACCCTGAGGGCCCGCGGACCTCCCAAGTGGAGCCAGGCAGAGCAGGCTGGCCGGATGCGGCCTGGCCTTGTGAAGGTGCCGGTGAGTATGGCGAGCGGTCAGGGAGGCGGCTCTGGCACTCTGCTGGCACTGCCCAGGGAGGGGTCTCCAGAAGCCCACACAACCATCCTGCCTGCTGGGCAGACGTGTCCCCGGGGTGGTGCTGCAGCCATGGGTCCATTCCTACGTCTACTGCCAGTGGCTGTGTCTCCTGGAACATCTTCCAATCCAGCGAGGAAGACACAGGTGGGCCTCACACTGTGTGGGAAGCAATTTGATGGGAGGAGCTCTGAAGGGGCAGAGGAATGCCTAATACTACTTAAGGCCCAAGGAAATCTCCTCAGAAGGGTCATTTAGACCAGGCCTTGTGGGATGCCTAGGAGTTTACTAGGAAAGACATTCCAGAGGAGGGAACATTTGGGCTGGGTCTTGAGGAATGCAAAAAGTTCACCCAAAAAAAAGCAGGTGGGGAGACCTCTCTTCTGGATGTCGGATTCTTCCTTCTGGCCAGGAAGCCCAAGGGACTCCTGGGGCTGCTCCCCCACACCAGCCTCTCTACATCCTAAGTGTGACTGAACAGGACAGAGCCCCCAGCTCTCCCACCCTAGAGCAGTGAGGGCTGTGGCAGGGGCGGCAGCTCAGCACAGCAAGCGCTTGGCCAGAGGGGGACCTCGGGATTGCGCCAGCAGTCCACTCTGGGGCCATGCCTAGGGTAGGACCTCTCTCCTTGGGGCGTTCCCCTTGCATACCTCCAGTAGCTGACACTCATGCCCTGCAGGCGGCCCGCTCCCGTTTCAGACTCAGCAGCAGTTTCTGAAGATGAGGGAGGCCTTGTCAGCAGCAACTGAGCCGTGAGGTTTGGGGCAGCTGGAAGGAAGCGTGGTCCAGTGGGGGAGCGGGCAGGCAGGGAGGCGGCTCGCTTGGAGTCGGCCAGTACCCTCCCGGCCAGCCCTGAGGCTTCCAGGGACGGCCTTATTTGGTCTCCTGTGAAGAGTCCGAGGAGAGAAAACTGTCCTCAGAAGTTCACTGGGGCATAAAAGGGGCGGAAAATCTTGCATCTGAAGTGGGGTGTGTGCCAGGCGGAGGCTTGGCCTTGGGGTCTGAGGCCGTGGAGACTCACGTTCGTTAAGCACAAGGGGCTCAGTCTGCAATCCCAGCACTTCGGGAGGCCGAGGCGCATGGATTGCCTGAGCCCACAGATTCGAGACCAGCCCGGGCAACCTGGTGAGACTTCGTCTCTACAATAAATTAAAAAAAAAATGAGCCGGGCGTGGTAGTGCACGCTTGTAGTTCTGGCTACTGGGAAGGCTGAGGTGGAAGGATCGCTGGAGCCCAGCAGGTCCTGCCACTGCACTCCAGCCTGGGCAACAGAGTGAGACTCCAATTTAAAAAAAAAAAAAAGAACAAGGACCCTGGAATCTGGGCTTCCCCATGTGCCAGCTGGTAATCTCAGGCAAGATACTTCACCTCTCTGCCTCAGTTTCCTTTCCCCACCTGTGAATGGTGGAGGGTTACTGTAAGGCTTGAGAAAACATAGATATGCAAGGTGCTTAGAACAGGGCTTGGCCCACCCAAGTGCCGCAGGGCGTCAGTTGTTGCCTGGTGACCCGCTATGAGGCACAAGCTCTGCCGGGGTGGGGCGGGGGGGGGGGGCGCTGGCAGGGGCGCCTACTACTGCCAGGCTCCAGCAAATGGCTGAGGACAGACCCAGCCTCCGCGGTGACCATCGGCACACTCTGGGGGGGCGGGCAGAGGCAGCATCCCAATTTACAGAGGAGAACATCGAGGCCCAGAGGAGGGTGTGCCTGTCTGGGAGATGGGGCCCCAGCTGGAGGGGGCGGAAGGGAGTGGGAGTGGCCCTGTGGGCACCTGCCGCGGCGCCCAAGCTCCATCTAGCCCTGGGACAGGACGCGGGCAGGACTTCTCCGAATCAGAGCTGCAGGGAGGGGTCGGCAGCAACACCACCGCCACCCACAGCGTCACGGAGAGCATCCCAGGGGCCAGGGGCCGGCTCCACGCCCCGTGAGTGGGCGTCATCTCACGCCACTCCGCCGCGTGCAGAGGCAGCGGCGCCCGGGACCGTGTCACCGGTGTGGAGCCTGAGGCCTGAGGAGTCCCACAGAGACGGCCCGGCCCACGGGCAGGCAGCTCCCTAGCCCCAGGGGGGTCCACTCCTGGAGAACAGGGACATACGGGTGCGAATCCCAGCTCCACCTTGCACAGCTAGGGGGCCCCAGGCAAGCTGCCTCCTCTCAGGGCTCCATCTGCTCCCGGTCAGCAGGCCTCGCCGGGCCCACCTTGGGAGGGTGAAGTTCACGCTGGGCTCCCGGGGACGTCGGCCTGCCGCTCCCCTCGGCCTGGCTGTCGGATCCCTCAGCCCTGCCGCCGCAGGGTGCGGTCACTGATGTGTCCCAGGGCAGACAGCAGGTGTTCACTCATCGTCCACTGGATTGGGCGTGGGCAGAGAGACACGGGTTCGAATCCAGGACCAGCGCCTCGTCTCTCTGAGCCTGAGTTTACTCAACCATTAAATGGGGTCAGCAGCACAGGCGTTTGACGGCCTTTGTAAGGACTGGCTGGCCGGCGTCAAGCACACAGTAGGTGCTCAACCCCACACGCGGTCTCATCCTCCTGAGCCCTGGACCTTTCCCGCCTCCCCACGGCTCCTGTCTCTGGGGATGCATTCCAGGAACACCTCCTGTCTACTCAGGAAGCGCCCGCCTCCCAGCCCTCCCAGGGCAGCCACGGCCCAGAGATGGCAGCGGCCTGGGAATGTGGGTGGGGGCCCCCGGGGCGGTCCTGCCCCTCTGTGGCCGCCGCTGGACAGAGGCCTCAGTGTGGAGCTGGGGTCCTTTCCTGGGCCCAGACCCATGACTGGATGTCTGAGAATGCCGCCCATTATCCGACTCACAGAGCACAAAGGGGCCACGCGGGGGCTCGGCGGGCCCGGCGCCTGCCAGGAGCGCACGGGGTCTCCGGGTCCCCACGCCGGCCCGTGAGTCCCCTGACCAGAGGGCAAGGGCGTGCCCAGAGTCAGGAGAGGGAGTGGCTCGCACACAGGAATGAGAACCATTTCCTCCAGCCCACGGACACAAAGATGAGAGCACCAACCCAGGCGGCTCCCAAGGCGAGGGTGGGCACCGCGCCCAGGTCCTGACACCGGATCTTGAAGGCTACCCTTGGGGGTGGCAGGGGAGGGGACACTCCAGAGGCTGGAGGGGCCTGGAAGCCCTCTAGCTTTCTGTGTCGTCTGTAGTGGGGGCCATAGCCCTTGCGAGCAAAGGCCAGCAGGAAAGCCACACTCAGCACCAAGTGTCCGTCATTTAAACACAGCAGCATGTCGGGTGCTGTGTCTGCGGTCAGCACCACTGCAGGAGGGCCAGTCCACCCCTCCCGGGCCACACTCTGGGGCACGGCAGCAATGACAGGAAGGAGATCCAGTGTGGAAGGGCCCGGGGGAAGGATTTGCTTTGGCCACCTAATTGCTGCGTGGCCTCAGGCAGGCCGCTAGGTCCCTCTGAGCCTTGGCGTCCGTGGTTATGAGAAGGGAGGGAGTAGCCCCACAGCCTCTCGGGACCCTCTGGGGAGTTAGCTAAAGGAGGCGAGCTCCCACATCGGAGCCCTTCATTGGAGCTCCTGGCACGGCCGACAGCTCCTCAGTGGCCGCTGGGGGGACCATGATGGATCGATACCTGGGCCGGGAAGCTCTCCTGAGTGAGTACAGAGGGGATCCTAGGAGCTCACAGGGCTCCACCTGGGGAGTCTAGGGAGAGGAACCCCGGGTTCGAGCGCGGGGGAGGCAGCGATACCAAGCCTTGTGACACCTGGCGCTGGGACACGCACAGATGGTTCCGAGTAGCCTCCCCTTTCCAGATACGGAAACTGAGGCTCACAGCGCGATGGCGCCACCGTGGTCACACCGGTCTCTCAACTCCAAGGCAAGAGGCAGAGGGTGCGGCGGCTGGAGCACAGTTTGGATGCCACTGAGCTGTGCAGTGCAGGCAAGGGGCGGCCCCTCTCTGGGTGTCCCCACCGGTTGCACCACCTCTCACGGCGGCTTCCAGGGGGAAACGAGACTGGGCCAAGCTCCTGAGAAGCCCCAGTGATGGCTCCCGGCACCACCTCGGCCCAGGGCTGGGTGCTGAGCGGTCCTGGAGGACTCTGTCTCCAGCACCTTCCTGTCAATAAGGCGGCGCTCTGAAAAGTCAGCACTCTGAAAAGTCAGCATGTCAGGAGCACTTCCTGCAAGGAAAACGTTCCCTGAGGCCAGGCCCAAGGGTGGGAGGGCGGGAGCCCCCTCCCCTGGAGCAGCCCTGGCCCCACTGTTATTTTTTCCGATCGAAGAAGCAAAACATTTCCTCTCCTCGCAGCTCTGCCCTGGGCAGTCGGAGAGCTGAGAATGGACAGGAGGGGCAGGGGAGCCCCACCCAGGCGGCAGGGAAAGGCCCAGCCTGTCTTCTCCGGGCCAGCCTCGCGGGCCGCAGGTGCCTCCTGCGAGGGCCTGCCCCTGCCTGGGCCACCATGTCCTCATCCTCGAAGGCACGGACATTCCCCAGCATTTCCCAGATTTCAGGCGTTGTCTGCCACCTGGATGATGACCCACTTCGTATTTATCTTTAAGTCACTTTTCAAAAGACTTCAATAAATGCATTTATCGAGGACGCTTTGCATCGTGATTGGGCACAGAAGACCAGTACCGCTTGCCAAAACCAGAAAGTCACAGCAAATATAAAGAAAACAAAGCGCTATCAGTAAATTCTAGAATGCCCATGTCAACAGTCCTCAACTTGAGACCTTCTCTATTAAAAAGGGACAGTGACAAATGTTGCAGTCATTAAAGACACGTTAGCCCCAGACCGAGGCTTTTTCCTGGATGTGAGCAGAAGACTTACACACGTTGGAAAGGGTCTGAGTCACAACGTGACTCGGGGCTCGCTGCTCGTCAGTCTGGGGTGGGCTCACCTGGGTTAGTTATTGCCGGGCCCCCCCGTCCCCCCAGTCCTGGGCACCACCCACCGCCCTTGGTTCCCGCCCAAGTCTCCGCTGAGCGGACATCCTGGCATCTCAGCAAGGCCAGGGAGATGTGGGATTGTTTACTCCTGCGTTCATCCATCCGCTGATGGTCGTCAGCACCTCCTCCGCTCACCCCGTGGGTTGGCTGCCACCACGCCCCACCTGGCCTGGCGGAGCCCCAGCTGATGGGTGGAGGGGAGCCAGATCTGGGTTGGAGCCTTTACCTTGCTAACGCCCCTCAACCTCCTCCTCTGTGATACAGTTGTGACGACCCCAGCCTTGTCAGCCGACTGCGAGGAGGATATTCGATCCTGCAGGGCAGCACTGGGCATGGGACTTACCCCTTGGTGGACAGCGGCTCTACTAGCCACCATGAGGCTCACCCTCAACCCCCTGCTCTAGCAGGGGCTTCGGGGGCCGTAATTCACTGCCACAGGGGAGAGGAACTGGGGTTTTCCAAGTGCCTGTGAGGTGCCTGACACTTATTATGCTATATTCTCCAAGTCTCACAACCTCCCAGGAGCAGTTGTGCTATTATAATTGTTCTCATTTTACAATTGAGGAAACCGAGGCTCAGAGAGGGCAAGTGCCTTGCCCAAGGACACACAGCACTTCTTTATGTGAGGACAGTTGGACTCTGGCATCTTACCTGCCCGGAATACTCCTAGTCTGGGGGGAGGGGCGGGCGGGACTTCAAGAGTCTCACTGTTCAGCTTTGTGGGAAGTTTGTGTCCCAAGTGCTGGTCTGCAAAAAAGACGCCACAGCGCATTATCCTCAAGGCTCAGTGGGGGGAGCTGCAGGATGCCGCAAGACGCGCCCAGAAGACAGGAGGGAAACCAGGAGGGAAACCAGGAGGGGCGGGAGAGGGCGGGGTGGGGAGTGGGGAGGGAGGGAGACCGAGGCACCCAGACCGAGAGACAGACTGAGAGTGGACGGGAGCGGGGAGGGACGGGAGAGGAGACGCGGCAAAGAGAGGGCCCAGGAGGAGCCTGAAGACCGTCGGAA